GCATCAGGTTTACAACAGGAGGAGAAACTACAACTTCCTATTTTCCACAAAATCTCTTTAGAAAGACAAAGCAAACCCACTACTAGTTATCTCAGCTGCTGTTTATATATGTAAATCTATGCTTAACAGAAAAGGATAACATAACGTGACCTTTACTACAAACCTTTCACTATTTCAAAATATTGATATGTATTTGACAAAGATGTTGCAAGGTAGTGTTGTGCTCCAACTGCCTGCTTTTGTGATGAGGCAAAAATGAACAAAGGTAGAGTAAGTCAAGTATCTTGGGAGACTCAGGGCTAAAATCTCAGTGCTAACAGTAAGAAGGAGATTTGATTTGTGCAAAAGTACCATTGTGATCAGATGAGGCTGTGGGAATACTTGTATGTGGGGGAAAAAAAAAACAAACAACAAAACCAATGCAAGATAAAAAGAAATTTCCTTTCCCTGCCTTAAGTTTTTAATCATTTTGAGAGTAACAGCAGTCCCAGACAGCGAATGAATATGGAAAGGTGCATAACTGTTGTTATCACTGAGTTCCGATCCCTGCAATCATCTTTTTTGGCTGGTTAGAAAGAATGACCTGGAATAGAAAGGAAAAAGAGGACTCCTAACCCACACAGACTTCTCTTTCTGGATGGTATGCCAAGTTTACCCTGTATCACTAGTTTAACCTAATGGCTCCAGTAAAGCGATCAAACACCTACATGGACCTGAAAGGTTTGGAGTGCAGGTCCAGACAGACCTCTCCCATACCAGCTGTTCCCAGTATCCCTCCCCTGGTCTCACACCCCTTCAGCCACTCCATCAGGTCACAGTCAGCCAAGACTGACATTATCTCTGACTCCACCATGACTAATGGATAAAAATTTATGGAAGAAGTCAAAAGCTTTCCCTTCTTCCCCTCTCCTTTAGAGAGCAATTGCAAGGCTGCAAAGAGAGAAGTTTCAGTTAGCTAACACAGGAGACTGAAGTGTTTTTAAATTAAGTTTTCTAATTGATGAAGCAGCTGAATTAATTCCCCCTGTGACACATGATCACTAGTTCACAACCCAAGAGGAAAGTGGGAAGCACACAGACAAGGAGAGACTCTTGCAGAGGTAGCAGGCGACCAGTTGTCTTACCTATCGTCAGATCAAGTACCAAGCATATCTCTTGTTAACTGTGTTTACTTTTAGGAAGCTACAAGCTCAGCAGCTCCTCTCAGTAAAAAAGAAAAACTAATGGCAACTATAGCACCAGGGTTGGAGGAGTGCACTTGATCACTGCCTCCATGCAAATCTAAGCAGCAGTGTTTTCTGCACATGTGCCAGAATTTCTGTTCTTCAGAAAGCAGCCTGTATTTTGTTATAGCTAGGTGATTATTAGGTTTATGAGTACTAAAGTATATTTTCCCATTTTGCACAAGTACTTAAAATGCTCAGCAACATGCACGAAAATCCTTCACTGAGTTTCAGGTATCACCTCAGCATCTGCCCTGACACCAACCCCACAGCCCTTCACATGGGTTTGCACACTTTCCACTTCAGTAGGCACAATTCCTACTCTCCTCTCAACTGTCTCCCTGATGGATACAAGAGTCTTGTCTGTGAAGCTAGAACAAGAGGAATTGTTATGAAGTAAGTAGGTTTTTCAAGATGAAGAAATACATGATTTGTAATGAAACAACTAAAGTTAATACGTAACCTGAGCAACTTTGGACCAAGAAGCAGAGAACTCTACCAACAACTGTCATATATGCTACAAAACATGGCAAAGCAGCTGATCAGAAGAATAAAACAATGATTATTAAAAGATATACTGCGAACAGGACACCTCATTAACTTGGTATACACTGCAAGAAGTTTTTACGAAATACGCTTCACTTTTCTATTTCAAGAGTAAATATTTTAGCTCTAGAGACTCCAAGTTAAAAATGGTTATGGTAGGAGAAACTGCTTACAATCAGAAGAAAACCCCTACTTTTTATTTCTGTAGGTACTGCCTACCTCTTTACAAACAAAAGTAATTCAAACTTGTCTCAACATCCCTGCAATAAACCAAAACCCAAAACCAGAAAAATCAAGGATTATTGAGTACAAAGTTTTGGGAAATGATGAAAAGGTCATTAGACACCTGGATACTCCACATCTGCCAGTGTTAAACTTTTGTGGGGCTGCAGAAACTGGTATGTCATACTGAATTTTTATAGGAGCATTTTTGCAGTATCGAAAGGTAACAGTTTTCAGAGCACCACCAGAAAGGACTGGGGAGTAGGAGATGGGCAGGTGAAGGGAGGTGAAGAAGGTATCAAGTCAACTATATGCATTTCCACTTGTGAAGCTACAGACTCTAGTAGTAATTAAATTCAATACCAGTTCAGGAAATTCTAGTTTCATTAATTATTTCCAAAGAATTTATAGTCCTAAACAGTCCTCAGTGGGAGAAAAGCCACTAAGTAGGAACTGAAGCAGCACAGGAATAGAAGTGACAAAACACCGTAACAATACAAAAGAGTCATTACACAAGGACATACATGTCCAACGCCAGATTTTGTCAGACCAAAAAGAAATTATCACCAGATTTTGTGAAAAAGAGACAGGCAGAATGATTGTTAGCAAGGAGAAGAAAACTTCTCAAAACTATCTGATTTACAAACACCCACATGATGTCAAATACTGATCTGTCTAGCCAAAATACTAGTTTTGTTTCAGATTTTTAATGGGATAAGAACTGTTGTTTTTTAGAAAAAATAGTTCTTCTAGATCTGCCCAGTGTGATTATTTCCTATGGTTAAGCAATCATTGACCACCACTTACCACCAAACCAAGCTTCTCTAGAGGTCTGGGTAGCTGCAATGATTGACCTCAGAAAGGGACAGAAGTTGCAGCTTTGATAGCTTGTTTGGGGGGAGAAAGAAAACAGAAAATTCAGGAAAAAGAAAGAATAGGGACCCACGTCAACCTTTCCTAGGAAATTCTGCCTTTCCCATAACTTCCATCTTTTCTCTCCTGCAGTTTTCACCTGGAAAATAACATCCTTTTACCTGACATTCATGGTGGAAAAAAATTTAGTCTTCAAAATTTTCTGAATCCACCTACTTTTCCTGACTTTAATAATACACATACAGGCTGACTCACCTCTAAACTGTTCCAGTTGCTCCACATTTTCATCCAGTGATGACTTTTTAGCCGTCACCAAACAGCAGAAGCTGCTGCTGTTGCCATGCAGAAAACTGTTGCCCCAAAGCACACTGACTTTCTGTGCAAAATAAAGGCAGGAATATTTGTATTTGTGACTTAAATAATAATTAGCTGTATTCTTATGCATGGGGTAACCTAATTATAAAGCCATTTTAAAAAATGAGGTCTTTGGAGTCTCCTTTCAGCTGTACTGAAATACCTGTCTAGTAAAATATTTTAATGCAACAATGGTAAGAATTATAGAAGACCGAAGAAAACACTCACATATAGTTCAAGGGGAATAGAAAAGTACCTGAGCCTTTCAGCTGATCAATGATTCCTCCAAATGATCACTTACATATCATGTTTTCATACACAGAATAATTATGCAAATTTTGCACAGTAAACAACTTAATACATATGAGAAAGTCTGACAAAACTATGTAACTCAAGAAAGCAATAAACATTCTTCAAATCAGGAAAAAAAAATAAATCCCTTACAAGTTCTAATTTCCATACACTTGCAACATTTTGTGTCTCTAAAGTACAAACAGTTACGCTTAAAAGTGCAAATTACAGTTCCATTTGATTTCTCGTTTGCAAAACTGTAATCAGTAAGAAAGAACAGGCTAGCAAGTCTACACAAAGAAAGATAAAACAAATAATGAGAGCATTTTTTAACATGCCCTTTCAGCAATTTCTGCACACGAAACCTCTAAAGAAAATTATTAATTTCCCATAACAGAATATAAATGTCTTGTAAGTAAAGAACGTATTTTTCCTAACACCAGCTTGATTGACCTCAAAGCACAGCTCCTAGTGATTCTGAGTGCCAAAGGTGAGTTCACAAACTGATTCACTGCACTAAGTGGTCATCTGTGAGAAACGCCCAGTGACTTCACTGGGATCATTCTAGAGGGCTCTAATAGTACCAGGAAGGGGAAAAACTAACAACACAGTTCTTATATGTTCACTATTACATTATTCTCTCTCATCTCATTGCTCCTAGACTCATGAAAGTTGTAATAATCCTCTACTCCTCAAGAACATTTTTGTGGGAGACTATCAGCTTCGACATACTTTTGTCAGCAAGGTGGAAATCAATCCATTGCATACAGAGGAAAAAAAACGTAACTCTTGATCAAAGGGAATAACTACTAGGAGTGGCAGGCAGCTACCTCATGCTGAGCAGCTGTTAGGCAGATATGTGCCAGGAGAGATCACATCCCAGGCAGAGCAAATGAAGGGAGCAAGCAGAGCCCTGCAGCCTGAGCTGCAGCCTGCAAGCATGCAGTCTCTCCTCTGTCCTGCTCTGCTGTCTCCGTTCCTCACATCTCTTCTTGTCTCTGTGCCAGGATTCCCCACACCACACTGGTCTCATTCCTCACCAAGCCAGAGAGCCTTCATCCTCTGCATCAGAAGCCTTACCACTAGAATCGGCTGCCTTCAGGGACCATGCTGTGGCACAGCATCCAGAAACAAGGAGCCCTGTCCCATGCAATTTAATCCACCACGGCCTATTACAGGGATGTACAACTGCCAGCATGGACAAAAAGTGCACCTAGTTTAAGTCCCACAAGACTGGGATACCTCCATTCTTTAAGAATTAGTGAGTTAAGTCACCTAATGAAAAAATCTGCAGGTAATTCATGGTGAAAAGTTGCAGCTAAATATTTCATTCCCTGTGTACAGCATTTGTAAACATGAAGACAGCCTGAAATACTGAGTTCCTCATTCAGCCACTGAAACAGTAAAGATTTTCAGTGAAATAACCTAAATGTGATTTGTTGGGGTGGAAGATGTGTGCACTTTTTTCAGTTGGTTTATTTTGTTTTTTTAGCCACAGGAGCAACCAGGTAAGTGGGTTTCTCCAAAGTTCATGCTCAGAATTAGATTCAAGTAGGATGGAACATTTCCATCTGGAAGAAACCAAGAAAATCTGGAAGTCTGTTAGGACTCTTCAATTCTAACAGCAGACAAATTGCACCTGTGATGCAAAAATTATAATTTTAGTAACTTAAAGATACCCTTGCTGAATTCTCAAGGGATTTAACATGATTTTCCTCCTTAGCTATGACAGCAGACAAGTATCTTAGGATGGAAGACCTTGGATTCACATCCTACATGAGACTAGACAAACTGCATATATGCAGTACTGAATATCACACAACAGAAGTACTTTTAAGAGATCCTTAGAAAGACCCATTAAACTGCAAATTTGAGTGCAATATAGCCAAGAAAACCTGGTCAACCTGCAGAAACTGCTTGAGATATAACCAGAAAAGTGGAATAAAAAGCAACAAAAAAAGTCCACAAGAGTAGACTAGAACTTTTATTTAGACTCCACTAAAGATGGGAGCACCACAATTCTGCCTATATTACAGGAACTTTACATTTACTGAGGTGTGCAAATTCAGAGAGCAGAGAGGACCTAACAACAGAAGTTCAAACACAAAAATCCAAAAGAGAACATGAAAGGAGAAAGGAAGTTATACAAAATGTATATATTTCCACTTTCATTAGATGAGATGCAATTTAACTTTAGTATGAGAGTTTAATTATCATCATATTCATATTATTACTGTGTTTACAGATTCAAGGAAATTTCAACAATCAGGTACCAGTTCCCCAAATTTTTTTTTTGGGGGGGGGGGAAGCTTGGAATTTCATAAGTTTGCAGTAATTTCACATGAAACAGAACCAAAAAGCAACATGTTTTTCCCAAAGAGTTAACGCAAAACTGGTTTTTAAAGTAGTTTGAACTGGACCTGCAATTAGGCATGATTCCAAGGATTTTTCACTGAGGTCACCACAGGACAAGTATGACTGAACTGCTCTCACTTGTTTGCTTGGGTTTGCATCATGTAGTATTAGCACAACTAATTTATCTGTTATACAACCTAAGACATAGTATATGCAGATAATTTCTCTAAAATCTACACTCCCCAAAAAATTTCCAAATTGTGAATAAGTAGTGAAAGCAACAGTATGCCAAAACAACACTAAACTTCTTAATGCCATGTGATGTGTTCTGTAAGTTGGATAGTGAGAGCTTCTCTGTTATTAAAAAAAGCCCTTTGTTTTCTGTCTCATTAGTGCAGCCCTACCTGCCCAGCTATATTAGTCACTTCCTGCACAAGGACATTTGGACACCTACATGGCATTAAAACACCTCTTAGTCCATCCAACACAGTACAATACAGGTTTAACTGAAACAATAAAGGTGCAATTGGAGTAAAGCTGTCTCTTGTGACATCACACACAGGAACTCTACTGCTTCAGAAAGATTAGATCTTTATCCCAATGCCCTCCCACCCCAACCAAATGCTGTTCAAAGAGAAAGAGAGAAGGAGGAAAAAAGGAAGGAAAAGATAAATGAAGTCTTAATCTCATGGTTATTCCATTCTCTTCTCCTTACTTACAGAGCTTGACAGGTAAGAAAAGGGAGAACAAAATGTATCTTCTGCTACTTCAAGGAGATGGTAAAAACCAGTGCAACAGTAAGATAACTACTACATGCTTTTCTACTTCCAAATTTCACAATCGTTCCACTTTGCAACCAAAACTATTTGTGTAATAGAAGCATAAAGCTATTGAGCTCTGCTTTCAAAACCAGTGTGCTGGAATCACAGCTGAGTAACAGAGTAACACAGGCTAGCCCAGAACTTCTGCAAGCCACAAGGAACACCACTTCCCATGACCATTCACTGCTTTGAACACAGCAGTGTACACCATAGCAAGGAACAGAGAAGCCAGCTGTAAATGATCTGTCATGAAGGTTCAACCTTGTCTTAAGTGTCTTAGCTAAACACAACAGAGTGATGACAGCAGTGCAAAGTATGGACAGCTCTCATGGAAATCCACTACCTGCTCTAAAGCTTTCATCAGACAAAAGGATGTGACATATAATCAGATCCTCCTGCAAGGATGTCTCTCTCCTAGTCAATTAAACACTGCCAGGAAGAAAAGCAAAGCAAAGACTTCAAGACAACAGAAATAAGAAAAGTTGAAAATTGAGTAATTTTTCAGTTGAATGGCACTAATGAACTATCTACAATGTGACCAAGTTTGTCTTCAATTCTATAAACCTTTTCAGAGTGCTACTACAAACACCATATGCAAAAGAATCGCTGTGAAAAGGAAACTGCATTTTAAAAAGCTCCTGACAGGGGAAAGGAAACTTATCCAGGAAAGGGAAGAGGAAAGAGAGCAAAAGTTGGAAGCTGGTGAGAACAGAGGTCACTCTCCAGGATCTTTACAGCACTCACTAGATAAGCACTTATCTTTGAAGAAGCTCAACTTCCTGCCATAAATAAAGGTTTTATAACCCACCCAAAGCATGTACCAGCCAGGCATTTACTTCTTTTTCCAGAGAGAGTTCCCATCAGTTTTTCCACCATGGCTTACACATATGAAGAAATCCATTAAAACCATACAACTCTCAAAAATATTTTCAATGTTTCAATGCCTGTTGGTGTCAGCATATGTCAGTTTTCATGTTTGTGCAAGCTTCGTTCAAATCCAGAAGTAGGCTTGTTGTGATCCAACTGGTGATTGCAGAGTCAAAATTTGCATCTATCAGTGCTTGCATTAAATCTTTCTAGACAGACTTCCCTGGTAAGCTCAGAGACATGAAGTGATATAACCCTGCTGGAGACCAGTTTAGTCTAGTGTAAACTTAACAAGAACCGAATAAAAAAAATTCTTTCATGCTGCACAGTCTTCAAAGGTGCAAACATATACAGAACATTAAAAACATAAGGAATGTATGCACGGCTACTGAGTCTCTAACTCTGTACAATATTTATTCATTTTCCCTGCAGATCCAGCTTCTACATAAAGCAGCTATAAAGAGCACAACAGCTTCAACAAGTTCATCTAGATAGTTTGCAGATGTATTTCACGACAAGTACAGAAACTCAATGTTTATTGCATCTCAGCAGCAAAGTCCTCCCTATGTACACCAGGTCAGGCATGCAGCCAAGATGGATTCACCATAATCCCCAGTAAATCACCCTGCAAGCACCCTGAGCTTCCAAAGGACTACCTGGCAGCCAAGATAAGTACTCTAAGAATGCCAAAATCTTTTCACCAAACTTGACAGATATTGGTATTAAAAATTAGAAGGGAAAAAAAAAAGGAGAAAAATAGAAAACAACAATGAAATACCAGGAGATAAATCCAGAATGATAATGCTGCAGCCTGTCAACTGAAGCACAGAGTTAACTAGCAGAAAGACAAGGACATTCAACAACCAGCTACTTCCTTCCAGTAATTTACAGCAAATTTGCCCAGGTGGTAACAGTTAGTTTCACAAAAAATTACTTTTTCAAAACACACCCCACGCCCAAACCACATGACTTCAGAGATTGTTTTTCAATGTTACATAGCTCCTCCACCTTAACCATCTGTTCTGTTCATTGTTTTAATGTAAAAGCAATCAGTGGAAACTAAAACAATCACTGGTCTTTGCTGAATGTTCTCTCTCACAAGTTTCTTTATACAACAGCCTGCATGCATTCCCTTGGAGAGTTATTTCACAAAGGCATCCTCTACAGCCTAGGTCAACTCGGGTAACACCAATGCAGTCTCTCCTCTGCCAGCAGAGAGAAAGAATTGCTTGGAAATTGCTCTGATTCAGCCAGAACTGTCTAATCAGAAACTGCCTCAAAAAGTCAGGTTTGAAAAGTGAGAGTTATTTCTCCTAAAACCAGAGTGAGATGCTTGACTTTACCTTCCATACAAACAAAACAATGCCAGATACAGAGCACTATTTGAAGACTGCTGCAAGCAGGTACCCATTGGGCATTACAAAGCATTTTGCTGTTTCCAATGGTCAAGAAAAAAGTAGCTCCAGACAATAAAACTCTTCTACCGTTTCCTCATTGGACTCCAGCTTCTCAACAGTGCACTGAGAAGCACAGGCAGCCTTACCATCCAACTGGGCCAAACTCAGCACACAGCGGCGGCACACGGAAAGCTTTCTTTTGAGAGTACTGAAGGTGCTGGCTGATACCACATTTTTCTTCCTGATTTTAGAGACTGGAAAGATGCTCCCAATAGAGGCTCATACTGATTTCTAGCAATTCATTGCAATTTTTAGTTTTGTGTTGTGCCAAAAATTCTTCACAAGCACCTACCCAAATTACAACCTCTTGCATTTAGACAGAAAAGTTATTTCTTCTTCCAGTTCTGCTTATGCTCAAGTAAAGAGTTCTGCATCTGCACAACAGCTTTTTTCTCCTTGCAGTCCTCCTTGGTTCCATTTTTCTTAAACGAAATTTATTTGGGTTACATCACCTGGTTTGTGAGGGTGGTGGGTGGGGGAGGGATTACAGGAGTGGCCTCTGTGAGAAGCTGCCAGAACCTTCCTCCATGTCCGGCAGAGCCAGTCTCTGGTGGCTCTAAAGACGGACGTGCCACTTGCCAAGGCTGGGCCCATCAGAAATGGTGATAAACACCTCTGGGGTAACAGATTCAAACAAGACAAAAAAAAAAGTTGCTGTGCAGCTGTGACCAGAGAAGAGCAGAGTGAGAATATGTGGAAGAACAGCCCTGCAGACACCAAGGTCAGTGCAGAAGGAGAGGCAGGAGGTGCTCCAGGCACCAGAGCTGGGACTTCTCTGCAGCCCACAGTGCAGCCCACGGTGGGGCAGCTGTGCCCCTGCAGCCCACGCAGTTCCACAGCGATGCAGAAATCCACCTGCAGCCCACGGAGGAGATCCACGCTGGAGCAGGGGGATGCCTGAGCAGAGGCTGTAACCTGATGGGAGACCCATGGAGAGAGGGGCCCATGCTGCAGCAGTTTGAGGAGGATTGTTGCCTGTGAGATGGACTCAAATTGGAGAAGTTTGTAGAGAACTGTCTCCTGTGGGAGGGACCCCACGGTGCCGCAGGGGAAGGACTCCTCACCCTGAGCAGCAGGAGAAACTCCTGATGCGATGAACTGACCATAATCCCCATTTCCCGTCTCTCCTAGCACCCGGGTGTAGGAGGTGGAGCTACGAAGGAGGGAGGGGAGATAGGGTCTTAATTTATTTTAGTTCTCATTATCCTGCTCTGATTTTGTTAGCAATAAATTTAATTAATACCTCTAATCTGATTCAGCTTTTCCCATGATGGTATTTGGTGAGCGATTTCTCTGTCCTTATCTCAACCCATGAACCCCAAGCATTTTCTCTCTCCTGTCCAGCTGTGGAGGTGAAACAGAGAGAGGCTTTGGTGGGTGTCTGGCATCCGGCCAGCATCAACCAACAACACCCGACACTCCAAACGAAGCCTCACCAGATACAAGTGCCTCACTGCTCTCCTCTCTGTACTAGAGCCTCAAATTGCATTCAGATTTTCAGTGATTTCATCATTACCAGCCATGTACATCATCTGCCATCATTCACCCAGATCTGCTGTATCCTACTCACATTCCAACAGCTGGACAAGCTCGTACTTGAAAAATAAAAATAATCAAAGATCTCTTCCTTGCTCCTTTTCACCATAAGGATAGATAAAATTCTCCTACATGGAAACTCAATAAAGAAGCAAAATTATAAGCTAGTATCATAAAATTTATCATCAGGTGCCAGTTCATAACTGATGCAATGACATGGGACTCTTCTCCTTTCTCCAAACATCTCAAAGCTGTTCATTAAAAGACATGGTTCTAGCCTGTGAAAGCTGTAGTCACAGCCCAGTGCACATGCTAGAACTTTTCTAAAAATCTAGATTAATTTTAAAAAGATGCTTAAAATTCTTATGGGTCAAAAGCAGTACACCTGCAGAAACATAGAAAACCAATTAGAGTGGAAAAGAATATGCTGGAATAGTCATTATTTTGGTTGTGTTCTTCAACAGAAACATTAAGTTTTTTACTAATACCAAGAGACTGTATGACCAAGCTCAGAAGAACCTCCACTATTAAAATCTAATTACACATACTAGTTCTTCCATGACAATGCCATACGTTGCTCTGTTGTACGTTTTTAAATGTCATTCAATACCAATATGTATTTTGTGTCTTTGCAGAACAAAAAATCCAAACAAACCACAACATAACCCACACAATAAAACCCCGAAATTCTTCTATAATTTTAAGTTGTGCTTAAATTAACAAGTCTTTTCACTTGTTATTCAAATAGATTAGTAACAACAAGAAACTTCCTTTGAGAGCGCTGTGGTGCAGAAAAACATTTCTCTCAAGAAAACAACAACCATAGTTGGCATTGCTTGGCTGCAGCAAACTAAAGCTGTTGAAACAAGCTAGATCAAGAGAGAGGTTGCTCATTTGCAATGCTACTCACATCAAAAATTTCACTTGTAAGACTATCTCCAGAAAAATCTATGTTACAAAATACATGAGGATGCTTTAGAATTCAGCTAGTTGAAAGCTCATATGTAATGATGCCACAGGCAGTGGAGACAGGACCAGTGGGTACCAGTCTGGGCTTGACTGGGCACCTCAGAGCTGTGAGCAGCTTGAGTAACTCCCTGGACCCTGCTGGTCCAAGAGCTGTGGGTGCAGATGCACCTTCAGGCGCTGGATAAGCTGTAACTTCCGTCTGGATTGTGAAAGAGGAAATGATGCAGCAAAAGGACCAAATTGCAGTTTTGATTTCATCGGGCTCCAATGAAAACCCCTATTTGCCACCTTTGTGAACATGTCATTTTCAAATGTTTTGGTTTGACAGGATGCCACAGTTGCCAAAATAAACTGCTCAGCTTAGCACTTTATTCACATGTTATGGTGAAATAAACATTTGTATATTGTGCATAACACAATTAGAAACTTGGTAAGACTAAAAGAAGCAAAAAATGACTGTGAAAGGTTACTTTTTAAACCAGATCTTTTTTCATTTGGTGATGGATCAAATGATGCACAAATAGTAGGGAACAAGTAGCAGACTGGGGTAAGCAGCACTGCTAGCTAAAATCACTGTATACCAATCAGCTTTAGACAAGTTTCCTTTTCTTGTCATGGAGAGAAAATAGAATGAATGAGACCCAGAACTCATTTTAAATCCTTAATTTACCAGAAGTGATAGCCTGGCCTTGTCTAACTACATATCATGGCTTGGGTGAGGGTCTCATGAAGCATTACACTGGGATAATTCAGGTAGGATTTGATGAGTTGCTTTCACTGAAAGAACAACAAATCAAGCCTTGACACGAAACACCTACTTTGCTGAGACAAAAGCACTCAGCCTATGTCTATCATCAACAGCTGCAACTCACTGCAAGGAAGATTAATATCTTACTGACTTGGAAGATGCTAATAATTTAAAATAAAGTTAGAACTCAAAAAAATGTCTTGAAAAAACTGGTATCTTCAGAAGTTTGAAAATTACTCTTTAAATGTTACTGAGAAATACAACAAAAGCAAGGCTGAATTTACTTTCCATTATACAAATGAGTGAATATTTCTGTGTCTGCTTGAATTCCACTTCCCTTATGTAAGCCAAATGGGGACCACCACACATGTGCGTACTTTGAAATATCCAGATTTTAATACTGTATTTAATTTTGGCCACTTTGAGGTCTAGGTGCATCTGTATATGCTAATACGCATAAATGTCTAACAGAAACAACATTTAGACTGAACTCCAGTGCTTCACAAATAATTTTCTAACCTCCATATGGATTAGTTAATCACAAAAAAAACATATTAACATGTACATTTTGTACTTGGTATGCAACAGTAGGTATCTACATACTGTGGGCTATCTTTGATCTTTTGCAGCTCCATCAATTCCAAAAAAGTCCGAAGTTGCACATGCTTTCCCATTTTTAACCTGCATGCTAATGCCGTAAAGTTAACTAAACAGAGTTTCTGAGCTATTGCACAACTGAACTGCACACACATGTAAAAAAGCACTGAACAATTTATATGCTTGCTCCTGTGAGGCTTCTAAGTGGACAAATTTTACCCAGCACTGCACAGATGCACTGGAGTGCAAAGACATAAGATGCCCTCTCCCCAGTAAACATGCTCATAGTGAAAAACATTAAAATGGCTGAAAGGTTAAGAAGCCCTTCCCCACATTTCTCTGCCCCCCTACAGCAGCAGTAGTACTGACTACAGTGAAAGACACTATTCTTTTTGCTTCTGCAGGGAAGTGGCACCTCACAGGCACTCTGTAATCATGTCACAGATGGGACACTTTACCTACCTACTTCACCCGCCCTGCTGCCAATGGGGTATATAAGTCTTTCAGCAGCTCAGTAAAACACTAATCCATTATTTTCCTGGAAGTTCTATACTTTAAACTGTATTTAGAATCCTTACTATTTTTTCTTTTTTAAAGCTAGATTTATTTCCTGCCTACCTCCATCCAACAGGAAACCAGAAAAAGACGTAGTCCTATTTCACTTCCTGGCCAACATTTACCAGAATAACTGGCCAGTATTCATCTGCAGCTTTAAACAGAGGCAAAGGATCCACCCTACATGAAGGCCATCAGTCTTCACAATTCCCTTTTGTTTTATGAAAGCTTACCCTGAGCAAGTCCACCTTCTGGTGCAAACCAATTCCTACATGATCATCATGCCCTTCCCATCCCAGTAATCTTCTTCTCCCTTTTCTTCCTTCCTTGTATTGTGTGAGCAGCCCCAAAGAGCCATGTCACAGCTGAAATAGCTTGGATAGGACTTCCCTTTCCTACAAGCTAAAGGGATAGAGTCACTCAGATCCCCATCCCAGACCCCGAAACTGATACACCACCATTCCTACAAGATCAGGAAGCCAAACCAAATAAAGCAGAGAGGCACCCACCTTTGCCGCCATCCATATCATGTTAGTGGTAGAAAACAACACATAATGGCATCACAATGACTAAGTTTGAGAAAATAAAACCTTGCCCCTTCTGTTTTCCAGTACAAAGTCTTATATTGTTTGTGCTGTACTTAATAAAAACATCACTGGGGAAAATTAGTCCTCTGTGGTCTACTTAGCAAGATCGTAAGGAAATGTAAGTGTGATAGACTTGGAAATTTCTTTACCTTTTCATGGAATTCTAATGTAGAAACTGCACAGCCTTTCTCACAATTAAATAAGAGTAACAGCACATCCCAACAAGGTTGTCAACTAAAACATACATCAATCTCGATTTGAAGCAGTGAGGTAGCATCTAAGGTAAATGTGGATTTGAACATGGAATCTAAGCCATTTCAGATTTAATTCCAAATCCAGTCTAAACTACTGTTAAACTTCTGACCTTCCACACTGAAATCCATAAAATTTTCTTCTGAGTAAAGTCTTTAATGTTTCACTCTAATTTTTAACTTCCAAGTAAAATTAATTTCTTTGCCTTACCAAAATTTTTCAAGTACTTAAAAATGGACTCAAAAATTAAATAAGCTCTTCACCAATAGGCAAATTTGTCACTTTTTCTAGTGACAAATTTTTAAGCATCTTTTTTGTGTATTAGCCAAATACAAAATAGTATTTGGCTAATAAAATCATATAGACAAGAATTTTTTTTTTACTTTTAAAATATAATTAATCAAGAAAGTACTTTAAAAAAGGAGCAAGAGAAACATAAGCACAAGCAGATGAGGCATAAAGACAGATAAACCTGGGTGGGTAAGTAATGTACTTCTTTAGGGGGAAGCCTCCAGTTTGAATTCTTTTAAAGAAATTACATCCCTTACACCTCTTAATCATTTTGACAATGTACTGACATCCTGGCCATTGACACTTTATTCAAGCCTGGCTGGTTTAGACAGCAGGAAGCAAGATATTTGTACAAGAAGAAAAGAGGAATGAAGGGCCAAGAGGCTCCAGAGCAGTTGGAAGAACAGTTGCTCTGGGTGGAGAAGCAGCTATGGGGCAGAGGTGAGCTGAAGGCCTTCACAACCCTCATTTAACTCCTTCATTTCTTTTTGTTTGAGCAACTGCACACCAACAGTTCAGTTTTCAACTCATTTTACATTCCCTGGACTGATTCCATACCTGTGCCTGGTGGCGCCTCTGAACAGCTGGTAGGAGCAGTGGGAGGGAGGGCATGCAGCAGATAATCTCCTTATGGCTCAGCCTGCCTGTGGTCTCCAATGCCAACACCACCCACAGACCAGCGAGGTGCAACACACTGGCTGTGAAAGACAGCTGACAAGGAGGGCTTCTGCTTCATAGAAATAACACATTTTCATAATTAGGCCTCAGCCCCAGCTACACCAAAACTGGTTCTCCATCTCCCGCTGCAATTTCCCATTCATAGGAAAACTTTATACCTCAATCAACTTCACTATCAACATCAGCCAACTCATGGTATCACCACTGGACGTGCCATTTACCCTTACCACTTGCTATCAACATCAACAATTTAATGATGCCACTTATCTTCCCCTCAGGAACTCGGGCCTTTTTCCATCAGCAAAACCCTTCCTGCAACTGTTCAAACATGACACCATGTTTTCTATTCTCAGTATCTTAGATCTCAGAGTTTTACTGAAAATGTTCTTTGCTGTAAGAAGAGCCACTCTCATGCTTCACTTCGTAACAGCATGGCTAAGAAATAACAGCCACAATTCCACCTCTACACCTGCCAAAGACTTATCCAAACAAGAGGAAGTCATAGCTAGCCACGTAGAGTGAGCTTGAAGCTACTCCTGCACAGGGAACAAATATACCACATGCAGTGCTCATATGCTGACAGAGTACCTAGGCCTACACACAGTGGGGTAACTAGGCAGTACTATAATTCAAGATCATTGCTCAAAACTAGTTTTCTTTCAAATGATTTTCAAAGCATCTTCATCAGTGCTGGATTTTGTAAACTGTTCCAAACTTAAGTTCTGGCACAAACTGGATTCACCAAGACACATGTAAGATGGTCTTGAAGTCTGCCATGTATCTTGTCAAGTTGAAAGACTAACTCTCACAATCTTAGAGGTACTTTGGTATCATCCTGCATTGTGATATCTGCGTACGCAGCAGCATTTTGATGCTGGTACTGTATACAACACATCAGGAGACACGATAGACTTTCAGAAGTCACTTGCTGAAAATGTCAGAGAAGTAGTTTAGGTGCTCCAGCAGCTTGTAGGCTGCTTGCATCTGATGGACCAAGTCTATCTGCCTTGTCTCCTCGGGAACACAGCCAGCTTACAGCAGCTGAAGCTGCTGATTTGGTTTAGAAAGCCTGTAAACCAGCAGGTTCTTTTCTCCTCCTGCACCTCTCTTCCTCCTTTGGAAACTTCTGCATTCTTTCTGGAGGGGTGGTTGCTCACCCTGCCATCATCTCCTGGTAGGCAGTGGGCAGCTGTCCGAGCAACTCGGGAGCTGGTGTTAGAGCAAGGTTTTAGATTAATTACCCTTGCAAACACAGAGCTGCTTCTGCACTGAATGACAGTGGCCTTTCCGAGCTCTGGTTTGACTCAGGGCACAAGCAGCTCATTAACCATCAGATGATTCAGCACTTGGTGCCTACATATCTGCTGGCTGGTTTTCATCAGCAGACTACAGCTTTGAAGATGTATGATCTATATCATACCATCAGACACCTGACGAGACACAGGTGTCAAGGCCCTCCAGCTCCAAGCTAGTACTAGTTTTATGTGATGCAGACTGCTCCTCAATTTTCCTCTTCACTATGCAGGTTTATAACCACATTCCCCACAAAAATCCTGACTGTAACTGTCAGCAGCTTTTTTTCTCCAGTTCTTTCAGAAAAAAAATTCTGCACAGAGAGGGGTCAAAAAAAAAAACCCCAAAAACTCAGGTCACAGAGAGAGAAAGACTGAGGTCCTGAGCAGAGGGAGGATGATCTACACATTTCATGCTCAGAAGAAAGCAGAATTCTTGTCCCACCAAAGTTAACCATGCACAAAACACTGTCAGATGCAGTCCCTCCCCACCCCCAACCATCCCTTCTGATTTACTCATGGCTACTAATCTCATTAGAGTTCCTATAATTAAAGCGCCATAAAATCTGATGAAGAATACAGTATGGTATTTAAATTAACTCACCCAAAGTCTTTTACTATAACAATTACTCTAACAGAGTTACAAGATTTACAAAATAAAGCATCACTAATGAGCACAGGATCAAAACTGGATTATCAAGTTTCCCTATTTGCATGTAGAAAAAGCAGGCACTGAGGTTTCTATAAAACTTTTGCAGCCATTTTATAGGAAAAGTGAAATGTTCCCTCTGACATAAAAATACAAGCAGCCCAGAATGGTTAGGAAGTGAATCACATTTTCAGCAAACCTTGGTATGCACAATTTCTGAAACAACCTGGGTTTGGTGCCATGTTTAATGGAGAGAAAGATGGGAAGTGAAGGAGGTGAATGAGATAGGGATATAATATAACACCTGTGAGATGTGTCCTGGTTCTTGCTTCCCTGTCCTAAGTCTGTATCCTGGATGACAGTGCAGAAAGTCACATCCTCCAGTGGGTTAAAGTCCTTATACCTTAAAGTTCATGGAGGGAGAACACTGGAGCAAATTCTTCAACCTCACTCATTAAGCGTAACAAACAACCTTTCTGGGCTGCATCAACTCCTGGAGAAAGGGCTTGCTGGGACCTGAGTCAGGCTCTATGGAATCCACACCAGATCCTGAGCTTCAAAAGCCACAACCTCTTCCATGACAACCCATCACCCATACCTATCAATTACCGTATCATCAATTTCTTTGAGTCCAAACAAATGGTCACAGAATTTTTTTGTGAATGGTAAATCAACTGGTCAGACTCAGACACTAAAGAGCCCCGAGAACTCTGTGACTCAGATGGGAAATAGAATAGCTAAATGAGGCAGAAGTAACATTACCTGATTTGCCAAAGTCAGGCTCCAGATCAGCTTGGGCATTCCAGGCTCGCCTGCTAAACTTCTCCTCCAGCCACTAAATCTTTGAAAGGGATTATGCAGCAAGGTGCCAGTGATAAGAAAGACTGGACTTGACCTCTAAGGACCTTCAAATGTTACCCTCATTTTCCAGCATGATAAGCAACAACTCTGCAGTTGGAGTATTTTCATCTGGCATTCCTTTTAAGAATGCCTGAAATGTCAGTTGATTTTCTGATCTATAAAAGCTGAAGTTCTGATGCTCTTATATATTTGCATAGAAGAAAGCAGGGTGCATTAACAGAGCTTTTGCTTTGCTACTCCATTTAACATCATTTCAGGATTCACAATGAAGCTATCATGAAGAACACAGCTTTCTTCAGGGAGAGAACACACACAGACATCAAAGGTCACACAAATTATTTTAAGTGCTATACTTCTGCCAATATATTCCACATTTTCAGCATGAGAAACCACTCCTCCAGAGATATAGAGTCAGCCAGAGCAGAGATTACTATTTCTCTGACAAGAAAACCAGACCTAAACTATTCACAATGCTGCTTGGGGTTTTGTTTTTCAGTCGTTTTTTGTTTGTTTTCAATTTTAAGTACATTCTTAAATCAGGTTGATCATGTCCCAAAGTAAGATCTTCTAAAATTTTCAAACAAAACCAGCTTTTCAGCATTTATACCTTTCTCATATATTTTCTTTTTTATTTTCTACAAAAAATGCGAAGTCTCAAAGATGAAAGGTAACTTGATTTCTAACCTATACTGGCTTTTCACTCATCCTTCCCAGAAATTCTCCTAATATAACTGACACGGAGATGCCTTTCTCTCTCCCCAGGATGACTCACAGGGTCCTTCCAAAGCACAAAGGAAAGACAGATCAGTTCTTGTTCTTCTTGAAGAAATATCATTTTCTTGTCCTTTTCAAAAAGGAAGATAAGGGAAGAACACATTGGACTGTTATTGGTTGCATTTTGTTTCACTTTTCCCTAACAAATTTACCAAGCAGCTAAAATTCTGCCTGGTCATAAAAGCATTTGTAACAACATGTCCACAGAAGTGCTCTGTGAATCTCACCCCTCATGATCAGTATCCCTGGCCCACCTTTAAAGGACAGGAGTTAAGTATCCATATGGCTATGTGCCAGATGGGTACTTTTCAATAGCTGCTGGGACCAGCTTTGCAGGTGCTTAGCAATAGTAGTGGCTTCCTTGAAGGGCATCCCTGAACACACATGCAACACCTGGCCAATGCTAAATCCACTTCACAGGACATATACGTGCTTCCTAGGCCAGCCAGCTATTTCAGCCACCAAGCTGCTGCTTCCTTCTCAAAGGGTTCAGCCTAAACCAGACAGAAGAGTTCTTCAGTATGTCTTTAGATAAGTGATCATGTAAGTTCCATTATATCACTGCCAACTGCAGGCACCTGCAGAACATGGGGAAGATCACCCTGACATCACAATACTTGTCAATTTCCAGCTCAAATGAAAGTCAATACTCTGACATATGACCTCAGTGGCAGATACCAAAGCGGCACAAATGTGCACTGACAATATAATCTAAAAACTTAGTGAGAATTTGCAGTCTACCACTTAACTACAAATCAAATCATTCTGTGCATGAAGTCTCAAGAAGGCTTATTAAGTGTTCCTGAGTTTCAGTGTTGCAGGAAACACGGAAAACATTAACTCTGACCATCCAATCCATTAGTTCCCAAGTAAAGCCATTTGCTGTTATCTAAGCATACCCAAACAAGATCACAAAAATGCTACCGAGTTTACTATTAGCCTGAACAAATGCTACCAGCACCAGCAATGCCACATAGGCCACCAGGGCCCAGAGACGAGAAAGTATTTGACTTCTGGTAGCACATGCAATCTCCAAGCAGTGAAATGTACTCTGGCCAAAAGAAGCCTGTCAACTATCTATGGAGTGCAGGGGTAGCTATAATCATCCATTCCTTCCCTACACACACAGCACAGCAGGAGAACAAACTGCCCCAGCACAGCACCAAGCCCCAACAGGTGTAAAAAATCACTCCACCACCAAACTAGCACATTTCCACCAGGCACATCCTAAAAGCTTATGCTGAATAAAAGCATAAAGGCAGTAAGCAAAGGGTTTAGTTGGTTTTGTTTTTTCCACATACACCATACTTCTCCCATTGTTCTTCGTGTTTAGGGCATGAATACACTGGCAGCAGAAACACACAAATATTCTGTGGTGCTAAACTAACTACAGATAACATTAGCCAAGACAGAGCTTAGTTATCAAGCTGCTGATTTCGGTTTGAAACAGCAGCTCTGACTGATAAAACAGGGATGAACATGTAAGCACCGTATATGCCAGCTATCTACCAGGATGAGCAGTTGCCTGCTCAAGATGGAAAAGTTGTGTTTTCATATTTTTTCCTCCGAAGAAGTTATTGTTTACTGTTGTTAACTGCAATTGTTCACCAACAGTCACAAACACACAATTTTAATCTAGCATAACACCAAACGCGATGTGTTCTGCGAGGAGCAGGCCAAGTGGCTGCACCAAGGGCCCGAACATAAAGCGGCAGCAGGCAAAACCCCCGGCTCCAGGAGCCGCTTCGAAGGCGGCTGCCAATGCTCCCAGACTCCGCTCCTTATCACTCCTTGGCCTCCTCTTAAAAGAAAACTGGTGCCGCCGGTCAGGTAACAGCAAGAGTTTGAGATTTCAAAGCGAAAATTCTTATAAAGACTGAAGAACCACAAGACGCATTAGCGACCAGCCGCGTACGAACGCGCAGAGCAGCGCTTGGGGAACGGGCGGTCGCTGAACGCGCAGCTCGCACGCAGGTGGCGGCCGAACGCGATCCGTGCGGGACGGGAAAGGTTTCCGCAGCTCCGCACCCCGGGGCCCTGCCCGGCTCGCCGGGCGCGGCGCAGCGCTCAGCCCACCGGGCTGCCCGAACATGCTGCGGCCACAGCCCCCCCAGCACACCCCGCCTGCTCCCTCTAGGAAGTACCTGGGAGCTGAGGTACCGCCGGAGGCACTCCTCGCACACCGCCTTCTTGCAGCAGGACAGGGGCTTGATGGGCTTCTCCTCCAAACACACGCGGCAGCTCAGCACCAGCAGCGGCCCGAACTCGCCCGCGATCAGCCCGGAGAAGGGCTCGGGCAGCAGGTACAAGTCCACCACCTCGATGCTGCCGCCGGACGACAGCGGGTCGTCGCCCGACACCACCCCGCGCCGCGCGGGGGGCTGCCCCGCGCCCGGGCCGCCGCGGGGGGAGCCGGGGGCCGCCACCGGCCGGTCGTTCTCCACGCAGTAGACGGTGCAGTACACGTGCCGCCGGGGGGGGCGGCGGCGACCGCTGCCTCCCTCCGGCCCCTCCTCCGCCGGGGCCGCCGGTTCCCCCGAGCCCGGCGGCTGCTCCGGCCCGGCCGCCGCCTCCGCCTCCTCTTCGGCTCCTCGCCGCTCGGGGCCGACGGCGGCCGGCAGCGGCTCCCCGGCCGCCCCGCCGCCCGGGACCGCCTCTCGCGGAGAAGGCGGCTCGTCCGGGCCGGGCTCCCGCGGGTCCCCGGCCGGGCTCGGCGGGGCGGCGGCCGCTCGCGGGGTGCTCAACGAGCTCTGCTGCTCCCCCATCGCCGCCCGCCGCCGCTCCTTCCCATCCAGCCGCCTCCCGGCCCCGCTTCTGCTTCCGGGTCCCGAGCCCCGCTGCGCCGAGCCCCGCGCCGCCCGCTCGCTCGCCCGCCGGTCCGCGGGCGCCGGCTGCCGCCGCCCGGCCTCCCCGCCGAGGGGCTGCGGGCGCGGGGGAGGGAGCGGCGGCAGCGGCGGGTGCCGCTCCGGTCAGGGCCGCCCGCGGGGTGCCAGCCCGAGCCCGACCCCCATGCCGGGGAGGACGCGGGCAGCCTCCCCTGGTGCCGCGGGGCAGCGCGCCCGGCCGCGCCCCGCAGCCGCCCCGGCCCGCCCCGCACGTCACCGCCCCCCGCCCGCGGCGGCCGCCCCGCCGGGCGCGCCCGCCTTCCCCGCCCCGGCCCGCCCCCGCCCGGCTGACGCAGCTCCTCGGCTGCGCCCCTCATTCAGCCGTAAACACTGCGTGGCTGCCCGCACGCCAGTGCCCGGCGTCGGCACCGCGAGGCGTTGTCGTGATCCCCAGGCTCCCTCCGCCGTGTGCCCGTACCTGCGGCCCGGCCGCAGAGTAATGCCCTCTGAATAAATTGCGAGCGTCCGATTAAAAATCATTCCAGAAGGAAAAAAAATGTGGTGAGCATCATCAACTCTGTGGGAGCTGCTTACTAACATCAAGGCAATAGAGTGACATTCACAAAAACAATTGAAACTGTTAACAGGAGTATCCACACAGATCCAAAACAGTGTTTTCTTCTTCATGTACTCAAGGCGATTAGGGGGATATATACACATTCTGCTCCTAGAGTTGGCCAGTATGCCAGTGCCTCTGCTTGAAGATGGTATCTCCGGGCATTGGTGTCATTATTTACATCATTATGTAGGGAAGATGTCATGGAACTGATGCTGCAGCAACCGAGTACCTTAACATGGATTGCGCAGTTTCCATCCCGAACTTTGTGTCCTTGTGTTACTCAGAGGTTAATTAGTTGCTCTGCTTGAGAGGATATGGTGTTTGGCTTAACTAGAGTGAGAAGAGGAGGTCTGCAAGTCGGGAGATGACAGGGACATCATGGCTATGTGCATGCAGTACCCTCAACCCCAGTGAGCTCATGAGCTCAGGCTCATGTGGGGAGCAGCTCCGTGCCTTTGCCTGGCTCTGTGTTTGAGCTCTGCAGCACAGCTGCTCAGCCACAGTGTCCCAGAGTGCAGGGCATTGAGGACACTGTATGTGGCCAGTCCAGCTTTTGGTTCCTGTGTGGCACTGAAGTATATGTGCACTCTGGGAAGGAGCTGAGCCTCCCAGAAAGCCACACAGGGTGGCTGCTGAAGGTTGGCAATGGAGGCACCACAGGCTCTGTGTGGCAACTGGCAACAGCTGCTGGCTTGGGGGGCTCTTTGCCTTGAAGATGATGTATTTCTTGCAGACCCAATTAGATGTGAAATTCAGTGGGTATGAATTTGTGCAGTGTCAGACTACAGTTACTCCTCCAGGAAAACAATGTAGAGGAATTATTTATTTTAAACAATATGTATAACTTTTCTTACTTGAGCCTTTAGGGACTATGATCCCAAAGCTTACTTTGAAAATATGAAGTGTAGAACTTCTAATGATTGGCTAACAGAATTTCCTACAGGTCTACCACTTAAGAACTTGGAACTTAAAGTAAAAGCTAGAAAGATAGCATCATTGCAAGAACCAGAATGATCCACTGTTAATTCGGAAATGTGTGTGCTAAAGCACAGCACGGGAAAGGGGTCCTTTGGGAATTCAGGATGGCAACGATAATCATACTTAGCTGAGGGGAAGCATGAAGCAAATAGGAGTTGCAGAATTGCCTGTGCCCTACCAGCCAGTGGTCTAAGGATGGGTAGTTCAGTGGCCTGTTCACCGACCCCAGCCATGGGTTCTTGTGGAGGAGAGTGAGCAGACTTGCCAACCCAGCTGTTCCCAGGGTCCCCCATTTTCTGGGATTATGGGATCGGCCCCGGGCCTGGCTGGTGAGCAGCCCCCAAGGGGACTCTCCCACTCCTTGACAAACATATCAACCAAGTCTTTGCAACAAATCTTTGCCATATTCTGTATATATTCTCTCAGGCATATTGAAAAAGTATGAAATTATACAGTAGTAGACAGAAAAAAATATAGGCTTAAGGTAAACATAATGTGACCTGCTAGTATGTACTGACAGCCTTTCCCACTGTGCCTTTACACAGACTCATATTTGAATGACATTAAGGGAGAATTTTCACAAAAAGACCATCCTAGTCTCCCACCAGACCCCAACAATCTGACAAAGTAGGATTTTTTGTTGCATGGCCCTTGATTATTCTGCAGGAGAGCTGTGAGAGAAGGAGTGGTCAGTGACTGGTTCTGTTGCCCTGCTGGTGGGTGCCTGGGTCCATGAAGCAGGAGTCCGTACAGGGATGAATGAGTGGATCCCAAAGAGGCTGCTGTTGACAGGCTGCATGATGTGTCTTAGGCTGGCTGTTGCCCAGGTTTTGAGAAACCATGAGTCAGATTTGCATCCAGAATGAATCTTGGTTTAAAAATCTGATTTTAGAGCCACACATTTTACACTCTCTGTAGAGTAGGTCTAGCCTTACAGAAGATATTTGAAATATAGCAGCACTGCTGGATTTGCATAAGATTACAGATTAAAATAAATTATCCTACAGAGATAAACCTTTTTATCACCAAACTGTTTGATTTACAAGAACTTCATTATGTTTGAGCACAGTTGTGTAGAACTGAGCCTAGTTGCTTGAAAAATCGCTTTTCTCCTTGTGATGTACTGCCAAATCAAACTCCACAGAGATTCACACATTTGAACTCTGCAAATGAAGTATGAAGAAGCAGCTGGCAGGGCATTAATTATTTGTGAGAAATCCCTGGTTTTGGAAAGCTCTGTTCAATATTGTCCACCAGAACCTGGATTTGCTTATCTTTGGGGACGTAGCAAATTCCATAATACTTTTCTTCTCTGATGAAAAAATTGGAGGCCTTGGTTTGAATAGGTATGTTTATGGCTGGTCCTTTTACTCATGCCTGATTTTAAGGTTCCACATCTTAGAACCAGGGGAGACACTTGTATTTTCAAACAAAGTAATTGACCGACACTGTTCTAGTAATGCCCAAATTTGGGATTGTTTTGTGGGTTTTATTATTATTTTTATTAATTATTCACACTGAACAAAGAAGTTGTGATGGCTATTGCATCAATTAATTACATTTTTTCCAAATTTATAAGATTTTACAGAGTA